TCGCTCTACACACTCACTCACAGGTCGCACCCACGGCCGTGGTGCGTGTCTCTCGATTTCCTCGAGTATCCTTTGCACGCTACCCAATTCTGATGCCCTGTGCTTGATTCTTCCGTACAGTTGAAAGTAAATCCCGGCACTGTTTTCACCACAAAAAGGTACACTCAGTCGTGCAGCTCTCATCATCAATTCCATAGCATACACCGAATCTTCTTCTCCCGTACCCCTTGAAAGGCTCTCGCTTCCTCCCGTGTTCCTCAAAAAGCTACTTAGATCCTTTACAGCTTCCCCGTATTGCCAAACCCCGCCTTTCTGTATCACTGTCTTCACCCATCGCGCACTCAAAAATAGTCTCTTAAGCTCCTCCACACACCCGCCCTGTTTCAGAACGCGATATATGCTCTCGAAAACATACTTCTCTCTTGCATCCTTGCTCTCTCTGCCCTCGCTCTCAGTTATAGCAAGCAGTCCTCTTCCCTGCCTGCATACATCTGCCAACTTCTTATACCAGAACGTTACACTTTCTTCCTTCTGCGCCTCCTGCACCGCAAAATCGTGCGTCAGATCATGCATCCGTACCCACCCACCATCATTGTCGTAATGAAGGTCTACTAATCCAACCCTTTCCATCTGCTTCGCATACTTTTCAGCCGATTCGTAGTCCATCTCCCACAACTTTATTACCAACGACAAAGGCATCCCGTCTTGCTTCTTCATAACACACAGACTCCGATGTATTTTTCGAAACGAAAACTGACGTAACCTCTCCCCATCGCTCCCTATGCCGGACTCCACAATATCTAGTGACGCATGTAATGTCGCGTCTAACGACGAATACCCATCCTCTGGACTCTCACTACGAAGCGTGTTACGCCTCTTCATCTTCGAAAGGTATGCCTCCCACGCTTGTGACTTTTCTCCCTCCCATCTATCTCTCATGTACCTGACACCCGTCCCGGCTACGTTCAGAGCAAGCGGCAAACCAGCGCACATTTTCAATATTTCACTCACGGCCTTTTTGCATCTCGGATCATTCGCTTCCTCCGGGTTCGCCCCGCCCGCAAGCATGAGCATGTGAACTGAATCGCCCCCTTCCCTTTCCCTCGGCTCGAAAGTCACTTGCTTACCGACCTGTTTCAGCTTTGAGTCCCTCGTGGAGTACAGAAGCCTGCTCCTCCTCTCTCGCATGTCTCCTGTGGCGGCAGCGAGAGTGGACAACTTCTGAAGAATACACGCATCTATACCATTCACGGCCCACAAATCATCAATAATGAACAGGCATACACGTGTGTTGAACCATGCTCGCATCTTGGTCAGTACCCTGCTCAACTCGCTTTGCTCTCGCATTTTCGCAGCCGCCTGGTTGCCACCAGACGCCTCTACGGCTATACACAGTTGCTCAATCAGCCGCCCTACGTTGGCATCTTTCCCCAAAGACATCAAGTACACTCCGCCTGAAAACCGAGCCTTGACGTCATCGTCGTGCGCAATCGCTCGAAGAGCGCATGTCTTTCCGACTCCGCCCTTCCCCGTTGCCGTCGCTCCTATATATGTATTCCTATCGGTACTTAGCACGGCCTCCTTTAGCCGCGCCTCACAAGTATTCGGTGATCCATCGATCCCCCGAGAATTTAGTTGCAGATATATTTCTTCGGGATTGAGCTCTGCGAGTATACAGGGCCTGAACAAATCATGCGTACATCCACTTGCATTCAAAACTTCTCTCACTTCATCACTAGAGTCCTCCTCACTTTTCTTTTTCACCCACCGAGATACTCGTTTCACAAGATTTTCCCTTGCAAGATGGCCGAATTCATCTTTCAGGTGGTTCGTTGCCTCTTCGTCGTTTTCTATCCCAGTGATATCTGCCAACTCTTGTAGCTCTCTCTTCACCGTATCCGTGCTCGCTTCGCGCTGTCGTTCCTCGCTAAAAAACTTCTCAACTTGAAAAATATTATTTCCTTCGTCATCCCAGTACCGATTGGGCTCCAACTCTCTGCATTCACGAATAGTTAATCTGTAAAACACCGGCATCAGTGTCGGTGGCGGCATCCCACTGCTTATCGCTTCTTTGCGTCGGCGCAGGAAGCACCGCAGTTCCCTCATTGTCCATTTTCGAGCTGCAAACTCGGGAGAAAGAATGAAAACACCGACCTTCGCAGACTCCATAGCCTTCGTCATTTCATCCCGTCCGCAGTCCCCGGGCTCCATCGAGATTTTGTCGAGGAAGCAATTTAAACCTTGAGCTTGCAATTTCTCGGAAAGGGGACGTGCGATGAATAGCTTGTCTGGGCCAGCATGGCTTATGAACACATCGGGAGACCGTCTCTCTCGCCGTCTTCTACTTGGTCCCGTCTCTTGCCGGAAGCTTTCCTGCATTTTTTTGTGAATAGCAAAAGACAAGTTGGTGAGGTGCGGAGTGTGTTAAGAGTGTGTTATGCGTGAGAACGGCACTGGCTGTTGGAAAAACAGGGACGCGAAGGTTGAAGGCCGCGTTCAGCGCGTGGCACTCTTGTCGTTGTCGACGAAAGCGGAAACAGTGGCGACGTTCGTGTGGGTCAGTAGGGTGAGCTGATGTGCTTTCGATTGTTCTTCCGTGAAGGAATGTTCGTGTGACTTCTTCGCGGAAAGAGGCACTCAGGGTGGAGCGATTTCCTATGCTCGTCAAAGAAGAAGGCGGCTGTTGAGCGGATCGTCGCTGCGTTGTGGGCACATCGTGAGTATAGTAAGGCTGCTCTCGCTGTGTGAGGCATGATTAACGTTTGATTTTTAGCACTAGATTTTAGTTGAAATTTCAAGGGTTTCTTTGTTGTTCCGCGCAAGCTTCCAAGTGGAAGCTTGGCGGCTATCAAACGTGGAAGGAAGGGTGGAGGCCCTGAGAGAGAAAGACACGCACAGGTGAATAATTTAGAGAAAAAATAAAAAGACAACCGGACCCCGAACCCAAACCACCACTCGCGACGCACAAACATGACTTTTACGCCAGCAGTGGGAGCTTCAAGGGACTGCAGGGGCTTGTCCATCAGTATTACAGTAGTACAGTTGTACAGTACAAAGCCCTGTAACAGTACCCTTCGGGTAACCTTCAGGTTTGGGAGAGTAGACAGAGAGGGCCATGTACAGGAGGGGTCGCGATATAGTGCCATCTTTGTTAGTGCCAGCTCCGATATAGTGCTACCCTTCTGCGGGTGGCACGAATTTTGAGCCAAAAATGAAGGGTCTCCAGAGAGGCAGTTGGATGGACGAACTGCCCGAGAGCCACTGCCGCCACGGAAAGATATTATGCAGTTGCTAGCTCGAATAGAGACTATGAGATTATGGCGGAAAAAGGCAAGGTCGACGATGCAATTGGACATCTGCAAAAGTGTAGGCTGGCATTTATGGCTGCGAAAAAGGAGGAAGTAATGCGACGGCTCGGCAGCTACTAATAACATAAATGCTTGATTAGACTTGAGTCTGTAGTCAAGATGGTAAGTATGAGTGATGGCGTCCTGCGAGGGGTTTTTTGAGCAGTGATGGAAGGAAATGGCTGAGCCGTAAATCTCATTATCATACAGTGCCTGGTTCGATATAGTGCCGTTTTCAGCCCACTGACACAGGGTAGCACTATATCGCGACCCCCCGTACCTTTTTTGGGCAACGATGCAATTTGCGGGCAACAAGTCATTCATTAACCCGTGCCCGCGTCACGCGTCACGCCCACACCTGGCCACGTAGCGATCCCCCCGCGAGACCTCGCGGCGTCCCCCCGCACCGGCGCCCCCGCCACCGCGCCCAATGCCGCGTCGCGCTGACCACGCGCCGCCGCTCGCGCCCGGCGACCCGCACAGCTCCGCCCGGCGAACGGCCTTCCCCCGCTGCGGCACGCCCGCTCGCATGGCGACCGAGACGCCGTTCTATGCCGCGAACGAGCGCGCGGAGCGCCGGCTGCTCAGCTCCGCGCGACGCTGGCGCCGGGCCCTGGCCTTTTGATGCTCTGCCACGGGTTCGCGTCGAGCAATTGTGGCGCATTCGTGACGACGCTGGCGACAGTCGTCTTGGCGCGGCTGCCGGCGGGGCGTGGGGTCGACTCTCTGATAGAAACGCCAGGAACATACCGTACCTTCATATTTGGAGTAATCTTTACGGAAAGTACCCTTGGTACTTTCCGTTCCAGTGTATGATTAGAAAAATGACTGCGGTCCCAGTGCCGCGCACGGTCACCCCGGCCTCACCCCGGCCTCACCCCGGCCATTAGCGCAATCGGTGACCGTGATCATTTTCTTGGATACATGGCTGCGTCAGGGCGTCAGGGTGTGTCTTAAGTGAAGTTTCAGAGTTCTGGCCGGGTAGTGGTTCTGCCATCTGATTGTGCCGCTCCGAATTAGTGCCGTATTATTAGTCTTTACACGGGACGGCACTAATGCGTAGGGTCGAGTGGCTGTTTTTTTTTATAATAACAAAAGGGCGAAGTTTTGGAACGATAGGATTACACCTACAGTACAGTATCTGGTACTTTATCCATAAAATAAAGCCAAACCGCTGGCCGCCCGAGACTCGGGAGAAGGGGCCATCGCAATCGGCCATCGGTGTTCTTGGCATCACATGCTTTCCTTCATTGGAGCACAGAAGTGTACAAAAAGCGTGGACGGAATGTTACTTGCACCCCTTCTGAATTACAGTAACAGCGAGGATAGTTTTCTGCGGAAACGTGTGACACGTGTTCCAGTAGAGTTGCAGCTGCCATTGTTGAAACAAGAAACTCGCAAACCTCTTTTCTTCGTCGTCACTACTCTCGCTCCAACTTATCCGTCTCGCTGCTGACGGTGATCAGACTGCCTATCGTGGTCGGTGTGTCACTGGGGGCCGCTTGTTTCACCTGTGCCGGCCAGGATACTTTCCCTTTTGCCTAGTGCTTATCTCTCACATGGTAGCCGATGCCCCTTGCAGAGACGGTGTTCTTCATTGGATCGAGTGACGACGCCGACGTTCCGTGAAGGGAGAGGGAAGGACGTTGTCGGATGGCAGAGACTTGGCAGGCCGCTGCTTGGTACGAAAGGAGGGGCACGAAGGAGGAGGGGAACGGCAGCGAAACAATGTCTCGAGATAAACCAATTCTCAATGGCGTCACAACTCTCGATCGAGGCTGCTCTGCAACTTCTTACTTCGTATGTCACATTTCCATAGCGAACTGTGCCTTTCGCAACGCGCTTGCGCTCTTCTTCTCGCACGACATTCATGTGCGCCCCTTGCAATGCTTGATGTGCTTTTCACCCAACACGCGCTCCTATTCCCTGCCACATCTCTCAACCGACATCTTTCCTCTCTCCGGTCTCTCGACATCTTTCTCTCCTCGCAAACCTATTCGCCATCTCACAAAGGCGTCTTCTTCGGCACTCCCGACAACCTCGGAAACGCCGCTGGCGTTGCCTTCACCTTTCGTACAGCCACAAAACACTTCTTCCTTCCGTCAACCTCTTCCGCCTCTTCCCCCTGCCCCTGCATCCACTCCCACGGCCACGCCTCGCGCACACCTTCCACCTTCCCGCCCAGCCTTCTGATGGCCTTCTTCGCGGCGGCGATCTCCTCAGCGCCCGCGCCCACGCTCTTTTGCGTGAAAAACGCACCCCCGCCCCCTTTGCCAGCGGCACGCACAGTCCGCAGCAAACGCGCATTCCCGCCAACCACCGTGCCACGACCGCGTCATACCGTCCCCGATGCATCTTACTCTGCCCGACCTCCTCCGCCCTCCCCCACACGGACGTCACGTTGGGCAGGGCCAGCTCGCGTTCCACGATGTCGTGGAAGCGCGTCTTCTTGCGCGCGGCCTCGAGCAGCGCAACGTCCCACTGCGGCCTCGCGATGGCCAGGACGAGCCCCGGTAACCCCGCACCCGTGCCGACATCGACGACGCGCAGCCCGGTGGCAGCGGCCGCGGCCTCCGCATCCAGCGCCGGTAGCAGGCTCAGCGCGTCCACGACGTGCTTAAGAAGCACGGCATCGCGCGTGCGGATCGCCGTGAGGTTGTACCGCTTGCTCTCGCTCAGCAGCAGATCCGTGAGCCGCACGAGGGTGTTGAGCCGCGCCACGTCCAGGCCCTGCGAGTGGGCCGCGCGGCGCAGCACTGCGTGCGCGGGGGCGATGTTTTGCTGCGTCGCGCAGCCGCGCAGCGCCACGCGCCGCAGCGGCCGCGCCCGGCATGCAGATCGCGGCACGTGACGGGCGCGCCGGGTCGGCGGCGAGACGGCGAAAGCCATGCGGCAGGGGGTGGGTCACGGAGCCATGTAGACATGTAGACGAGGATGGTGTGCGTGGGGGCGGCGGGCGTGGAGGTTCGAAATATCTGCAATGAGATCGAGAAGGATCTGTGGGTAGGGACCCGATTTTGGCGGGCGTCGGCGGGAGTGTTGCCACGCGGTGTTAAGGATGTTATATTGCTTTTCCCTGCTTGAGGCTGCTGCGGTCACGGTCACGAGGCGAGCGGCAAGCCGGTGCGGCAGAGCAGTCGGAGGCCGACTGTGGGATCTGCTAAACTGGGCGACCCGTGCTGTGCTTTCGGGTAAGGAAAGTCGGCTGCTCTGCCTTTACTGGAAACGGAGTACCGGAAACGGAGTACCGTTAGCGTACAGATGAGTGTTTTCGATTAACACCGAGTCGCCGTTGGCCACAGGTTTCGGAGATTCGCCCACAACTCTGCCGTCCCGCTCCGTCGTCCTCCCTTTTGCCTGTCGTCCTCCCTTTTGCCTGTCGTCCTCCCTTTTGCCTCTCTTCCTCTCCGGCTGAAGGAGAAGGCCCTCGCGGCGATGACGAATGCGCTATAATACACGTGTTACTGTTGTCATTAATAATAATTACAACCATAATAATTACAACCAAAACAATTACACCAAAAATGTGTTACATTACGCCGCCTATCCATGTGGTACTGTACCTCTCTCGCCCTCGCTGCCCTCGCCTTCCATCCCGCCCCCGCCTTCCTCTGTTCTCGCTCACCCTCGTCCCGCGTAGTACGCGGGACGCGCGATTTCATTAAATCATGTTTTTTCGCGCATTTGCGCGCAAAAACTGCCAGATAATGCTGCAAAATGAAAAAATCACCACTTCGGCCTTCCTCAGACGACTGCAACGATAATTGCGATCAACCATCGAAATCGAGATCCCCCATGCTTTCCTAGGGTCCCTGCAGCCCATCTCCATCATTGTCTAAAGTCCTTTCTTCATGAAGAATCATGAAGTTTCTCAGTTTCTGCATGAAAAAACAGGCAAAAAGCAAAAATGAAAAAATAACCCGAAATCGCGGCCGCGTACTGCCGTCTGATCTGTCCCGCTGCAACGCCGCAAGTTGGGCTACCGCCTCCGCGTTGTTGTCTTTCTCGACCGCCATCTCGTACAACTGTATCGCTCGATCCGTGTCGCGGGCCACCCCGTCCGCCCCGTCTCGCATCATGTTTCCAAGACACACCATTGACTTGCTCTGCTTCCGTTCCTTGATGTCCATCTCAAACAGCTCCACCGCACGCACCGCATTGCGCTCCACCCCTTCCGCTCCGTCCCTCAACATCATCGCAAGATTGCAAGTCGCGTTACCGGAATTTCCTTCCGCCATTGCACGATCATACAGTGCCACAGCTCGTACCGCGTCACGCTCTACTCCTTCGCCACCTTGTTTCAGCAAATTACCGAGGTTAACCATGGCATCGACGTCCTCACCCTTCTCGATAGCGCGTTCATACAGCTCCACTGATCTCACCGCGTTGCGCTCTACTCCTTCGGCACCTTCTGAGAGTAAAAGACCGAGGTTATTCATGGCATCGACGTGGTCACCCTTCTCGATAGCGCGCTCATACAGCTCCATAGATCGCACTGCGTTACGCTCTACTCCTTCGCCACCTTGTCTCAGCAAATTACCGAGGTTATTCATGGCATAGACGTTCTCACCCTTCTCGATAGCGCGCTCATACAGCTCCACTGATCGCACCGCGTTGCGCTCTACTCCTTCGGCACCTTGTTGGAGCAAACCACCGAGGTTATTCATGGCATCGACGTTCTCACCCTTCTCGATAGCGCGCTCATACAGCTCCATAGATCGTACCGCGTCACGCTCTACTCCTTCGGCACCTTGTCTCAGCAAATTACCGAGGTTATTCATGGCATAGACGTTCTCACCCTTCTCGATAGCGCGCTCGTACAGCTCCACTGATCGCACCGCGTTGCGCTCTACTCCTTCGGCACCTTGTTGGAGCAAAAAACCGAGGTTATTCATGGCATAGACGTTCTCACCCTTCTCGATAGCGCGCTCATACAGCTCCACTGATCGCACCGCGTTACGCTTTATTCCTTCGGCACCTTGTTTCAGCAAAAGACCGAGGTTATTCATGGCATCGACGTGGTCACCCTTCTCGATAGCGCGTTCGTACAGCTTCATAGATCTCACCGCGTTACGCTCTACTCCTTCGGCTCCTTCTGAGAGCAAAAGACCGAGGTTACCCATGGCATCGACGTCCTCACCCTTCTCGATAGCGCGCTCATACAGCTCCACTGATCGCACCGCGTTACGCTCTATGCCTTCGGCACCTTGTTTCAGCAAAACACCGAGGTTATTCATGGCATCGACGTGGTCACCCTTCTCGATAGCGCGCTCGTACAGCTCCATAGATCTCACCGCGTTACGCTCTACTCCTTCGGCACCTTCTGAGAGCAAAAGACCGAGGTTACCCATGGCATCGACGTGGTCACCCTTCTCGATAGCGCGCTCATACAGCTCCACTGATCGCACCGCGTTACGCTCTATTCCTTCGGCACCTTGTTTCAGCAAAACACCGAGGTTATTCATGGCATCGACGTGGTCACCCTTCTCGATAGCGCGCTCATACAGCTCCACTGATCGCACAGCGTTACGCTCTACTCCTTCGCCACCTTCTTCGAGCAAAATACCGAGGTTATTCATGGCATCGACGTTCTCACCCTTCTCGATAGCGCGCTCATACAGCTCCACTGATCGCACAGCGTTACGCTCTACTCCTTCGGCACCTTGTTGGAGCAAATTACCGAGGTTATTCATGGCATCGACGTCCTCACCCTTCTCGATAGCGCGCTCATACAGCTCCACTGATCGCACCACGTTACGCTCTATTCCTTCGGCACCTTCTGCGAGCAAAATAGCGAGGCTCACCATGGCACCGACGTTCTCACCCTTCTCGATAGCGCGCTCATACAGCTCCACTGATCGCACAGCGTTACGCTCTACTTCTTCGGCACCTTCTTTCAGCAAAACACCGAGGTTATTCATGGCATAGACGTTCTCACCCTTCTCGATAGCGCGCTCATACAGCTCCACTGATCGCACCGCGTCACGCTCTACTCCTTCGGCACCTTCTGAGAGCAAAAGACCGAGGCTAACCATGGCATCGACGTCCTCACCCTTCTCGATAGCGCGCTCATACAGCTCCATAGATCGCACTGCGTCAAGTGCTTCTTTCCCTTCTGTCTCTCTTGGCTCGAAAGCAACCCGTTCCCCAATCTGACGCAGCTCCCTATCACTCGTGGAATAATGAAGGCGGTCGGCTTCTTGCTCCTCACTTTTCTTTTTCACCCACCGAGATACTCGTTTCACAAGACGTTCCCTTGCACGATGGCCGAATTCATCTTCCAGGTGGTTCGTTGCCTCTTCGTCATTTTCAATCCCAGTGATACCTGCCAACCCTTGTAGCTCTCTCTTCACCGTATCCGTGCTCGCTTCGCGCTGTCGTTCCTCGCTATAAAACTTTTCCACTTCAAAAATATTATTTCCTTCATCATCCCGGTACCGATCGGGCTCCAACTCTTTGCATTCCCGAATGCTTAGTCTGTAAAACACCGGAATCAATGTCGGTGGTCGCATCCCACTCCCTATCGCCTCACTCCGTCGGCGTAGGAAGCAACGCAGTTCCCTCATCGTCCACTTTCGAGCCGCAAACTCGGGAGAAAGTATGAAAACACCGACCTTCGCAGACTCCATAGCCTTCGTCATTTCATCCCCTCCGCAGTCCCCGGGCTCCATCGAGATTTTGTCGAGGAAGCAATTTAAACCTTGAGCTTGCAATTTCTTGGAAAGAGGACGTGCGATGAGTAGCTTGTCCGGACCAGCATGGCTTATGAACACATCGGGAGACTGTATCTTTCGCCGTCTTCTACTTGGTCCCGTCTCTTGCCGCAAGCTTTCCTGCATTTTTTTGTGAATAGCTAAAGGCAAGTTGGTGAGAGGTGCGGAGTGTGTTAGGAGTGTGTTATGCGTGAGAACGGCACCAGCTGTTAGGAAAACAGGGACGCGAAGGTTGAAGGCCGCGTTCAGTGCGCGGCACTCTTGCCGTTGTCGATGAAAGCGGAAACAGTGGCGACGGTTGTGTGCGTGTGGGTAGGGTGAGCTGATGTGCTTTCGCTTGTTCTTTCGTGATGAATGTTCTTGTGATTCCAGCGAGGAAAGACGCACTCACCCTGAAACATGAAAAGAATCATGAAACGTTGATTTACGTACTGTTGTTGTTCGGTCGAAGGGGGCTTGGTGGTGTTTTCTGGGGAAGTGGGATGTCGAGTCTCGCCGTAGAGTCCGGTGTGTCCTATCTGTCGACACTCGGCCACCTTCCACGCTTTGATTTCCTCCTCATCCCTTCTAGAAGCATCCACGCATCCGGCCCGGATTTCCCAGACAGTCTGCGCGCGCTTCCCTAAAATTCATATAAAATCTCCCACTACAGTATAAAATCTGACACTACTGTAAATTGTAATTTTGCAGTAAAATTCCCTCACAACTGTGTTGACGTCACACTAAACCAACAATTGGTAAACGTGTAAACTTTACACAGCCATGTTGAGCGCAATCTCTTGTCTGTAATTTGGATGTAATTTAGCGAAAGCCAACAGTCCAACGTTAATTACGCAACATTTGCGAGCGGGTTCTCCATCCGAGGGGCCCACAGCGGAGGCTGTCCGGGGGAGCAGGAAGAATGGATGCCAGAAAGGGCGAAGAAGTTTGCTGATGAGAAGCGTGTTATTTCTGACGGTCCTCGCCGGGGAATGGATCAATGCTTCTCCCTGGACGTCAGTAGACTCCAACCGGAGGACTCTCGAAAAGAGGACGTCGAAGATGACGAACAGGATTTTGAACTTCGCCAAGTGGCGTCCGTGGAGACTCCCTTTCCGGCAGGAGATCCTGTACTCAAGATGAGTAACGCCAGCGTGGCGAGCGATACCGTACGGTCCGGTATACTTATTGACCGGGCTCCTCCGGCTCGTGAGATTATGGACGACGAAATGGCCGTCGTACGTAAATTTTTGCGTGACACAATGGCGGATCGGGTTCACCTTGCTGTATTTTTTTGCTCGATGAGGAGTTCGCAACGCCATCTGGCGGTAAGTTCGAAGCGGTAGCTTGCGTACAGTAGCACCATAGGGCGTGTAGTCATTCTTTTTAAGGTAAAGAGGAACCACCTTTGTCTTGAATCTATCCTTGTCTTGCTCGGATGATCGAGTCTGGGACATTCAATCCCTTTCTTTTGCAATATGAAATTACATGGCTCCGTCGGAGGTGACTAATTGGTTCTTCAGTCTCGTCCTCCGGCGTGTAGCCATACCATCTTACTCGGAAGACGAGTTTATCGTCGTCATCATAGCAATGCGCGACGACGTGGTCGACCACGTATTCTTCGCCATCGATAGCGTGTGGAGATTGCGACTGATCCCTGTCCATCTTTCTTGTTGTAGTATTAGACGCGGCTCCTCGCGGGTTACATGCGCGTTGTTCCGTCACTGCAAGGACATTCTAGGCGGCTGCGTCGGGCGCCAATTGGCGGCGTGCGTCTCTTTCTCCCTCGTTGGAGACGAGAGTCGGCTCGTCACGGGGACTGTCAGCGGGAGGTGTAGTCTTTTTCTCCTGTCCGACCGGAGTGTAGTATAACGACGGACGCGCGCGCGGGGAGATTATTATCCGTGCGGCCGTGCACGGTGTACACGTGGGCGGGTGTTCCCACGTGTAGGGAGCGCGCTCGTGCCGAGTGGTCGTAATCTGGCGTACGTGTACAGTAGTGCACGTGTCGGCCAAGCGGTAGTTTGCTAGTATTACGCGTGTACGCTAGCACACGTGGCATCCGTGCGGTAGTCTGTAAGCAGCGCGTGTGTACAGTAGTACACACGTGTACCTGCAGCGTCTGCGCCGTAACTAGGAATTGAGGCGCTAGTTTTTTAATGGCGTACAGTACCTGGTACGCACTAGGCGGCAGGTACTGTATACTGGGACAGGTGTCCGAGGCGTCTCCCTGAGGGGTTAAGACCTGACACTCGTCCCCACCAGTAAACTGGGGCAAGCTCGCCCCCGTCCCTTTCGCGCCTACGTACGTCCGTTTTCGGTTGTCTGTCGCGCGCGCTGGCTTCTAACCTGTTACCAGTCGCTCCCGTTCACGCACCACGGGGCGACTGCGCGTAACCGGCCAGTGAGCCACTCCCTTTTCCCGAGCTCGTCCGATCGGTTCAATTAGCGCATCGCGTCCGCGCCGCGTGCTCCCTCGCTAAAGCCTCCGCCTCTCACCCAACCCAGGGCGGAGAGGATTTATCCCACATTTTGGTACTCTTGTGGAGGGGATAACTCTTGAGGTTGAGCCGCACGCGTAGTGGCTCGATCACGCGCAGAACCGTACGGACGGAAAAGGTTGAGAAATCACCGCGTCGATCGCGAAGCGTATTCGACGATGAACCGACCGGACCAAGGGGAAGACTCCGCCTCCGGGCGTCTGAGCACCCGCAGTGGCAGTGGCGCACCGCGCCCCCGGGTGGAGAACCCGGAAGCCCTGCTGCGACCGCCACCGCGACCGGGCCGTACGAGAGCGTCCGCATCGGATGTTACGCCGGCCGTGTCGGCAGGCACTGAGAATCGCGTCCAATAGATGGTCGACGCGATTCAGCCGCGCATCCAGGCCTGGGTCGAGGAGTTCCTCGCCACGGAATTCCCCCAGGTAGCGCGCGTATGCCTCGACCGAACGGTGCCCGCGCTCGTGGACGCGCACGTACGCAGCGCGATACCACCGCTTTTGGACGAACTTCTACCCGCTCAAGTCCAATGCGAGGTGGTGACGGCGCTCACCACTGTGGGTGAAGAATCCCCTTCCGGTACGGCTCTAAAGGGAGCGATCAGCTCCGGCGTGGCCAATCGTCTGGCCACGACCTTCGCCGGAGCAGGAGTCGACGCACGCGAGCAGCGCGACTCAACCGCTCCGGACTCTACGCTAACGCACGCTGAACCGATCGGCGCCGCACCCGGGATCGGTACAATGGCCCCTCACCCGGAGGGTAAGACCATTTACCTCCCACCAATTTATGGTGCTACAGGAGGGCCCACAGAAAATGGCCCTCCCGTACTCGCCGATACCGCTGGCCCCGGCGGGACAGAAAACCGCCTGGGGCGCTTCGCGACAGAAAAGCAACAGCCGTATCGGTCGAGCAGAAGAAGCGCACCGGGCGCTCAAGGCTACACCTCGGAGGGTACAGAAAACCCCTCCGAGGAAGAAGACACAAGACGTCGCCACAGGCGACGCGCAAGAACCGCGACAGACGCAACGCGCGATACCGCGATGCCGGAGGGGTCGGTTACCCCTCCGATGATAACCGCGACGGACGCTATACGCGATACCGCGATGCTGGAGGAGGTGGATACCCCTCCGATGACGAGGACACCAAGTCGGACGGATCGCGCAGAAGCGACCGCAGAGGCCGCAATGCGCGCGACCGACGTCGGTTCCGGCGAGAAGACTCCGATCCGGAGGGCTACAGTAGCCCCGGCGGAGAAGGAGCCCGCCATCGCAGGGGCAGAGACCGCCGGTCTGCCCCGAGGCGGGATCCGAAACGTTTGCCGGTGATCAGGCCGCTGAACGACCTGTTCACCAAGGCCGTCGACTACCGCACGTATAGGCTGGAAAATCGCAGCGCGCGCTACGACGCGAGTACCGCGCGGCGAGTTAACCGATATCGGAAGAAGTTGGACGTCCAGCTGAAAACCCACACGTTCGGTGGTCAAGATCCAATCGCGGTGCTAGGGTTTCTCGCGCGCTTCAAGATGGCCTGCGACCACAATGGGGTCAGCGAAGGCGCGGCCGTATGGTGTTTCCAGTTCTATTTGACTGGGCAGGCTCACGCCTTGCTCCAGTCCAGGCTACACGGGAACACCATGGCGGTGGATGCGGAGCAGCGCGATATGCTCGAAACCTACGCGGAAGTTGTTAACTTTTTATTACGCACGTACGCGAGGGACGAAGTTATTTCCGAAGCGGTCGGTGATTTCACCTCCTTCCGTCAGAGCTCTAATATGACGGAGGAGGTGTACAATAACCAGTTGTGGGACAAGGCGTTGCGCTGCGGAACCGTATTTTCGGACAGGCGCTTGAAGTCCCTTTTCGTTGAGGGACTTCTGCCAGCGACGAGCGCGCAGGTGCGAAATTATCTCGCGACGCATCCGGGCGTGGACTACCAAGCAGTGGCACGCTACGCGCAAGCGATAGGCGAGACGCACCGCTCGGCTCGAAGACAGGCGACCTCGCTCGCGTCGCCTCAAGCACCGTCCGATTCGGTGAGATGGTTCACGCGCAACGCGCGGACAAGGCCCGTGCTGTCGGTCGAGTCCCTGTCTGAACTCCCCACAGCGCGCGGAACCGAAACGGTGGAGATACTGGCGGTGACGGACCAGTCGGTGACGCCGAGCTCGCTTAGCTCGCCGCCGACTAGCTACCATACGTCACCTGCCTCGTCCCCGGCGGGCGCACCGATGGCGCCCGCCCAACACGGTGACGCGCGCGCACATCCGTACGGAAGGCCAGTACAGAACCAGCTGGTCCGGTTCTTCAACCAAGGATTACCTGGACCCCCGCCGTGTCGGTTCTGTCTGGACCTGACCCACCGTCAGGAGCAATGTCCTGTGGTGGCGGATAGCGCGCTGCGTTCGAAGCTTTTGCAGGCCCGCGAGGCCAATTATCAAAAGCTTCGGATCCGCCAAGGTCTCCGCCCGGGTTCGCCGTTCGAGCGCCAACCGCCGACCGCGTGGCGAAATTCGCGTGCGCAGGCTCCCACGGGCATCAACGTGGTCGAGCCGCGCGAGGCCGTCCAATCGGAAGAACCCGCGCTGCCGCTGACGGACGAGGGGCCCGAGGACCTTGGGTTGACGGGGGAAGCCGGGGAGGACGCGTAGAG